AAAAAATATTATTTTCAAGGTCCAATATAATTTTATCTATTTAACCTTCAATTGTCACAAGCTCCCCAGCTGTTAATCGGGTTGCCATCTAAGAAGGGTATCATCATAAATAATTCATAGTTTCTTTATTATTATGATTAAAAGCTAATAATGTTGTTCATTGTTGTTGTTGTTGTTTTTGCTTTATAAAATAATTACGGAAATTAAAACTAAAGTCATACCTCCAAAACCTTGTTAGGCGTCTTGGTGATGAATAGAAGCAGCAGCTCTAGTTTTAGTTGGCGGATGTATTGGTTTGTGTGTCATCACTTGATGGAACATTTCTTAAGGCATTAAAGATATAAAGGGGGAGGAGGAGGAGGAAGAGGTGGCTTAAATGCAGGCTTAATGCCTAAACTCATTGATGGTAATCAACGAAGTTTGTGAAGAGAGAGAAACATATGAATGAATGATTTGTTTCGCTCTCTTTGAAACGAATGCGAGCATAGGGAAGGTGGTATAGGTAATGGGGAAGATAAAATATCGATTATTAGAAGCGAATAGAATACCATATACAAATATTTTCCTCAACAGAAGACTGAGCCCAATTTTTCTAAATGAGTACAGGTGTTAAATGAATACCAAATGACCTCTAAGTGGAATCTCCATAGCCCACCCTCGTAACTGCAGTGGGGTATTTTTCTTCACTTAACTGAACATGATCGCCGCTTAGCACTTGCAATCATTGCCCAGAGCGCGGTGGTGGTAGTTCAGCTTTGTTGCAAGAGAGTGGTATTAAAACGGAAAACCGCAACAACAACAACAATAAGGTAGAGTACTCTTGTTACAACAAGAGTAACAACGACTGGGGTAAGACAGAGCCCAACAGGTGTTTTACAGCGCTTTAAACAATGGCGATGATGAGGTGAATAATGAAGCGGTATTTTTATGGTAGTGTTGGTGGCACAGTGTTCCAAGAACAATTTGAAGTAAAAAAATATTTTTTCCAAAGATTGGATTTTTTACAAATATTTTTTAATGTCCATAACCTAGGCCTGGTGGCAGATACAGACAGCGTACTGAGGATCTGCAAGGAGCATTTTGAAAACCTTCTGGTATCAAATAGTAGCGGTAAAGAGCATACCCCAGAACCAATAAAAGACGATGGTATAGAGTGTATACCACCTAGCCATGATGAAGTCAGAATAGCAATTAATCGGCTGAAGAATAATAAAGCAGCAGGTGCCGATGGGTTTCAATCTGGTGGTAAGATGGTGGTAAGGAGCATGCACCAGCTGATTAGTACAATTTGGCTAGAAGTATGCATGACCAAGGATTGGAACCTCAGCATCCTGTGTTACTTACTTAGCTGGCTTGAGACAGAACTTTCCTTCCATAAGCCGAGCTTAGAAAAGATTTCCATGCGCGTCGGTCTTTTGCGCAGTTTTTCCAATTTGAAAGAACATTATCGGCGATGTTGTCTTCGACTTGATCTTTCCAACGTATTCTTGGCCTTCCCCATCTGCGTGAACCATCAGCTGGTTCACTTTTATATGCATTCCGGACTGGGGCATCTTCATCCATTCTCACAACATGACCTAGCCAACGTAGTCGCTGCAGCTCAATTAATACAACTCATGGTTCATGGTTCACCGTCGACGCACATCGGCACGTAGATCTTTCGGAAAAAATTTCTTTCAAACACCCCAAGAGCTGCCTCATCTGCTTGCACAAGTACCCATGCTTCAGATCCATATAATAGCACCGGTAGTATCAGCGACTTATAAAGTGTGAGTTTGGCCTGGCGGGAGGTGGCCTTGTTTCTAAATTGCTTACTGAGGCCATGGTAGCATCTGTTGGCCATCACAATCCTTTTCCGAATTTCAAAACTGATGTCATTCGTTTTATTTATGGCGGTACCAAGGTATATAAAATCTTTTACTACCTGGAAGCTGTAATTCTCAAGTTCTACTGTTGGTCCGAGTCTACTGGACGTCTTGCGCGTTGATACCATCAGCTTGGTCTTCTCGCCGTTTACTGCCAGACCCACTTTGGTAGACTCCTTTTCAATTTTTTCAAAGGTGGCTGTTACCGCTCTCAATGTTCGACCCATTACATCGATGTCATCGGCGTAGGTGAGTAACATGTGTTGTTTGGTATACAGAGTGGCATTTCTGTTCACTTTGCCTCTCGTATGACCTTTTCCAGCAGGATGTTAAAAAGATCACACAACAAACTGTGACCTTGTCTAAATCCTCGTTCGGTATTGAAGGGCTCCAGTAGGTCCTTTCCGACTTTAACTGCTGACTTTGTGCCACTTAATGTTATCCTGCATAACAGTATTAATTTTGCAGGAATGCCAAACGTAGACATGGCTTTAAAGACCTCTGAACGGGTAGGGCTATCGAATGCGGCTTTATAGTCGACGAATAGGTGGAATTTGTCAATGTGTTTTTCGTGGGTCTTTTCCAAGATTTGGCGCAGAGTAAAAATCTGGTCAATGGCGGAATTGCCAGGTCTGAAGCCGCATTGGTATGGTCCAATAATGTCATTGACCATTGGCTTCAATCGTTCACACAACACGCTGGATAGCACTTTATATGCGATGGGAAGGAGACTTATTCCTCTATGTTTGGCACATATCGTCTTGTCTCCTTTTTTTGTACACGGGACACAGGATGCTTATTGGGCATGCTTACCTTTAGCCAAACTGTACTAATCAGCATGTGCATGATCCTGATCAGCATCTGACCACCAGTCTTGAATAGTTCGGCTGGTAACCCATCGGCTCCTGCTGATTCATTGTTCTTGAGCGTTTAATTGCTTTTATGACCTCATCTTGGCTAGGTGGTATACACTCTATACCGTCATCTATTATTGGTTCTGGGGTATCCTCTTCACCGCTACTATTTGATACCAGAAGCTTTTCGAAATGCTCCTTTCAGATCACCAACACGCTGTCTGTTACTGTCACGAGGTTTCCTTCTTCATCTCTACGGGAGGATGTGCCTGCACCAAAACCTTCGATTTGGTGTTTTACTCGTTGGTAACATTTTCGGACTTCATTCTGACTCCTGTACATCTCGATTTGCTCACGCTCACGTTTTCTTGTTCTTTCTTCTTTTTTCTGAAAACACGTTCCTCCTCTCTCCTTTTCTCTCGATAATTCTCCATCACATTACATGTTGCTACTGTCTGCTGGGTTGCCCTATACGCTGCGTTTTTCAGATCGGTAGCATTACGACACTCCTGATCGTACCATGGGTTTCTTGGTGGTGGTTTTTGGTACCCAAGTGTTGCTTTTGCTGCAGTTTGTAGGGAGTGGGCAATTCTTTGCCATTGTGCTTCTGTAGTATTATCGGGACAAGAAGTGCTTTCGTCAAGCTGGGTGCTACCTGTTGTGTTTTCAGCTTTTCAACGTCGAGTTTCCGTGTTGTGTTAGATCGCACCATTGCTGCAACATTAAGACAAGTGCGAATCTTGGCTGCCACATGGTAATGGTCCGAATCGATATTCGCTCCTCGGATCGATCGAACGTCTAATACACTGTATGAATGCCTTCCATCTATCACAACAAGATCAATTTGATTTCTCTTTGCTTGATCAGGAGAAATCCAGGCGTATATCGTTATGCTTAAATCTGGGTCTGCTAACTACCATGTTTTTTGCTACCGCGAAGTCAATCAACCTCATACCGTTGTCGGATGTTTCATCATGAAGGCTGAATTTTCCGACGGTGGGACCAAAAGTATTTTCCCTTCCGATTTTTGCATTAAAATCTCCTAGCAGAATTTCTAGGCGCTCATAAAATATGTCATCAGTCTGCTTAACTTTGTCTTCTGTCGTAGGATGTGCGCAAATAAGACTGATGTAGAAGAACTTCGCTTTTATGCGGATTCTAGCAATTCGCTCATCTACTGGAGTGAATCTGGAGACGAGGTCTTTTATTCTCCTGTTAACCATAAATCCGCAGCCAAATTCGTTTGCGGGGGACGTCAACACTAGGGGGGTTTGGTTTTCTTTTTCTTTGCTTTTTCATAGTAGGAGGGGTTTTCCGAGTGTGGGCAACTATCCCGACGCCTCAGCCCAATTTTTTATAGTTCTTATGGGTGTACTCGCGGCACATATTAGCTCACTATTTCAACCGGCGATGAAAATAGCTACCCCAGGTGACACCGCGGGTGACACCGCTGTAAGTGTCTACAATTGAGATGAAAGAGGGACCAAGATAATCCTGGACTTCGGCATGTAAAAGCCAATCAGAGCCGTTGCTTGGTATCTATCATCTCCTACGTCACCCTCACACAAGGCTTGGATTTTTACAAAATATTTTTTGGGTCTCAAACCAAGATCACTTGGTTTTTAACCACTGTTTACCCGGTTGTCATGGTATTTGTGCCGGTGTCGGAGCTACTGGTGGTTGTTTAGCTTCATAGCAAAGAAGTCATATCTTCTTCTTTCTACCCAAAACAAAAATGGAATAAAACATCATATCCAACGAAGAAAAAAATCTCTGAGGCGTAACATGTTACATTTGAAATTGTTCAGTTTTGAATTGACTGCGTAACGTTTAAGACGGGCTTTGTTGTTAAAAGCGGCGCAAACTGAAATCATTTTTTTAAATACAAAAATTGTGGAAAATAATTAAATTATTCTAGAATAAAATAATAAAATTCTAATATATTGAAATAAGGAAAATATTTAAAAGAATCAAAATAAAAATTCAAAATTCCCCTGAAAAAATCTCGCAATTAAAAATGCATAAAGTTCGGTCGTATGTTAAAGGATCGTTCATGCAGAACGTAAATCTTGCGCAAAACACTTTATAACAGTCCACAATAAAACTAACAACGGCAACAACAACAACAACTACAACAATATCATTAACTACATCAAAAACAACAACAACAACAACTAAAACGAGTCAAGAAAAGTGACGGCAATAACACCACGGCATGATTAAAGCCACGAAATTATTAAAGAAACCTTCAGCGGATTCATATCAGTCCAAAATAAATAAAATGAAATCGAACGAAAAGAATATTTCGGCCAACGATCAACAACAACAACACCAACAAAATGAAGATACCTTACATGGCACCAATTCCGATTCTTTGGGTTCTGGAGCCTCAACAATTATCGATCAGCAACAACAGCCGCTCAAAAAGTTTAGCTTGAAGGGAAATCAATTGAGCGGCAGTATTCTAATTGGAAATTATAATGTAAGAAAAAGGATAGGGAAAGGGGGAAAGGTAAAAAGAGGGAGGAAAGAGAAGCGAGGATGAAAGAAATTAAAAAAAAAAACAAAAAAATAGAAGGAGGTCTGAACTTCTATGGAAGAGGAAATGAGTGTTTTCAAAGAAGTCAAATTGGTGTTCCTATTGGAGACCAATTGGTGTTCTTTTAGGAGACATAATGACGTTCTTATAGGAGACCAATTAATGTTCGCAAATAGTCTTCTTATAAGAATGCAAACGATGTTCTTATGGGAGACAAATTAGTGTTCTTATAGGAGCCCAAAGCATGTTCTTATAGGATACCAATTCATGTTCCTATTGGAGACCAATTTGTATTCTCAAAGAAGTCAAATTGGTATTCTTATGGGAGACTAATTGGTGTACACATAGGAACCCAATTGTCTTTCTTATAGGAACTCAAATTGTATTCTTATGGGATACTAATTGCTTTTCTTGCTTATATGATACCAATTGGTTTTCTTATATGATCCCAATTGGTGTTCTTATAGGAAATCAAATCGGTATTCTTGTAGGAGACCCATTGATCTTCCAAAAGGATAAGGCGTGATGTTCTTATAGGAGACCAATTAGTCTGCATTTAAGTGACCAATAAGTCTCCTCATAGGGGTCCAATCGTCCTTCTTTTAGGTCACCAATTGTTTTTCTTGTAGGTGACCTATTGGTTTTCTTATAGGGGACCAAAGGAAACTGATTGGTGTCCTATAAGAGTTCCTATTACCAGTCCAATTAGTCTTCTTTTAAGTGACCAATAAATCTTCATATCTATCTATCTTCATATAGGAATTTTTATAATTCACCAATTGATGTTCACATAGGAGACCTGATTGCTTATAAGAGGTCAATTGGTTCCACAAAAGTATATAAATAAGTCTTCATATAGGAGTCCACTTGACCTTCCTTAAGTCACTAATTGTCATTCTTTTAGAAGTCCAATTGGTCTTCTTATAGGTTACAAATTAACCTGCCTATATGTTCTTATACGAGATCAATTAGTTTTAGTCCAATTGGCGTTATTACAGGTCACAAATTAGCCTGCTTATATGATACCAATTTTTAAGTGACCAATCGGTCTTCTTATAGGATACCAATGGCCTGTTTATATGAAACCAATTGGTATACTTATAGGTTACCTATATGATCTTGTTATGTGGGACCAATTGGTCTACTTGTAGGAGAGCAATTGGTCTTTCAAAAGAATATCAATTGGTGTAAGTCTAGTTATAGGAGTCCAATTGGACTTCTTATAGGACAACAATTACAGTTCTGATAGGAGATCAATTGGTTTTTCAATATAATACCAATTTGAATTTTTATAAAAGTCAAATTGGGATTCTTATAAGAGACCAGTTCGACTCCTTATATATTGGTCTTAATAAAGGAGACTATTAGTCTTCCTATAGGAGGTAAATTGGCCCGCATATTGGACACCAATTGGACCTTTTATCGGAGACCAGTTGGTCTTCTTGTAGGTAACCAATTGGTGTTCCTTTAAGTACGAGTCCAATTGGCTTTTTTAAGGTCACCAAATGTTCTTATAGGTCAAGTCAGTTGGAGTCCAATTTGTCTTCTTATAGAAGGCCAATTGTCGTTCTTATATGAGACCAATTAGTAATTCTTAAAAGTGACAAATATGTATTATTATAAGAGCTCACCAATGCGAGCTCTTATAGGAGATCTATCAGTTTTCTTAAAGGAGACTAATTGGTTTTCTTATTGGAAACCAATTGAACTTCCTATAACTGTAGGAAAATCTTATTAGATGGGGCTTGGTTTACATATTTGTCCAATAGAATGCCAATTGGACTTCTTATTGGAGTCTTGATGGAGATTCTACACGGAAAATTTCTATAAGCAGATTTCTTGGTCAAAACATGAGGTCAAATAAGTATTATGGAAGACCAATTAGTCTTATATTCCTATATAAGACTAATACGTTTTATATTGGAAACCAATTGAACTTCTTATAAGATAATAATTGATATTCGTATAGGATATCAGTAGGGAAATCTTATTAAAGGAGGCTTGGTCTTCTTATATATGTCTAATAGAAAACCAATATTACTCCATATTGGAGTCCTGAAGGTGTTTCTACAAGAAATTTTACTGAAAGCTGAATTCATGGTCAAAATTGGAGGCCATATAAGTATTCATAGAATAAATCAATTGGGATTTTTATGGAAGACCAATTAGTCATATATAGAAGACCAATAACTTGTCGTATTGGATATCAATTGAACTTCTTATAAGAATATAATTGATACTCGCATAGGATTTCGGTAGGAAAATCGAAAGTTAATACGAGAAAATTTTCTAAAAGCTGACTTCTCGGTCAAAATTGGAGGCCAAATATGTATTCATAGAAGAAACCAATTGGGTTTTTTTATGGAAGTCTAATTAGTCGTATATATGAGATCAATGAGTTTTATTATTATTATTATTATTGTATAAGCAGATCAAAATTGGAGGACAGTTACGTATATAGAAGTCTAAATAGTCGTATATAGTAGACCAATAAGATTGGATACCAATTCTTATAAGAGAATAATTGATATGCATTTAGGATATCTCTAGGAAAATCTTCTAGCTTTGTCTTTGCCTCATCTAGCTTTGTCTTTTTTATGTCCAATAGAAAGACAATTGGACATCTTATTGGAGTAATGAAAACATTTCTATAAGCAGACTACTTGGTCAATATAGGAGACCAAAAAGTATTCACAGAAGAAACCAATTGGGCTTTTTAAAGAAGTCTAATTGGTCGTATATATGAGACCAATAAGTTTTCTTATTGGAGACCAATTGCAATTTTTATAAGAGAATAATTGATATTCGTATAGGGTATCTGAAGGAAAGTTATTAGATGATGCTTGGTTTTCGTATACCTCCAATAGGAAACCAATTGGAGATATACGAGTTGGAATCTTGAAGAAGTTTTTACAATAAGATTTTCCACAAACAAACTTCTTGTCTTGGTTTACAATTTGTTTAATTTGTCTACTTATAAGGAACCAACAGATCTTCACAAAGACCAACTGGTTTTCTTATAGGATACCAATTGGATAATTTTTTGGGAGGCCAATGAGTATTTGAATGCGATACCAATTATGATTTTTATAGAAGACCAATTAGTCTAATATATGAGTCCAATAAGACTTCTTATTGGACACCAATATAACTTCTTATACTAGTCTAATTGATATTAGTTTGGGTTATCTGTAGGAAAATCTTCTCAGATGAGAATTGGTATTCTTATAGGTCCAATAGAAAACCTATTGAAGACTTGAAAACGTTTCTTTGAGGAGGTTTTCTATAAGCATACTTTTTGATTCAGCTTCAAAAAATTCCATCATTCCCCATTAACATTCCCTTTTGCGAAGTTTTCATAATTACATAATTTTCAGTTCGAACCTACAACAACAACAATAAAAACCAACAATGCGTAGATCACTTGTTATAAATGAACAGCAGTACCATCAAATCGGACTCATCTTCCTCTCTCTCTCTTAACTTATTTTTTGCAATCATATTTTAATAACCGCTCTCTTAATTTGCTCTCTCTTCAATAATGTGTGTTTCTCTCTCTTCTTAGTATTTGACCCAATTGGAGGTTAGTGAAAACGAAATGGAAGTCTTGGATTTAAGTTCTTTGGCCCAGTTGGAAACGTTAAAATGCAGTCACAATAAATTGTTGGAACTGATGATTAATGGCAGCAATTTAACCTCATTGGTGGCGGATTCGAATTGTAAGTAGTACGAAAGACCGACGAATAATCATAGAATTATGATTGGCGGTTTTTTGTTTAATGGAGTTTTGAATTTTCAATTGGAACGTAAAAGAAAAAAAACCAACAAGAATGCAAAGTGTCTGTCATCTTGACATGGTTAGGAACAGATATTTTATTGACATTGGAATTATGGGGTCTTGAAAATGATTGAAGACCTTTGATTACTTCAAGAAAAATATTTTTAAAAAAATCTACGCCTTGTTAGAGGTCCTTAAAAATATTTTTAAAAAAAATCTACGCCTTGTTAGAGGCCCTTAAAAATATTTTTAAAAAAAATCTACGCCTTGTTAGAGGCCCTTAAAAATATTAAAAAAAAAATCTACGCCTTGTTAGAGGCCCTTAAAAATATTTTTAAAAAAATCTACGCCTTGTTAGAGGTCCTTAAAAATATCTACGCCTTCTTAGAGGTCCTTAAAAATATTTTTAAAAAAATCTACGCCTTGTTAGAGGTCCTTAAAAATATTTTTAAAAAATCCACGCCTAATTGTACATTTTAAAATTATTGTGAATTGTTATTGATAGCGTCTTAACTATTGTGAATAATTTTATAAGGGTGGTTCACATTACTTTACATGTTTGATAGCAGTATTTTGTGGAAATCAAAGGAGGAATCCTTTCAAAAACTCCATTGTATTGATTTTTAAAATTATAATTAATTATTTTTCCTCTTCTTCCCTCTAGGTCTCCATTTGATCCACATTTCTCCGGTACCCAATAAATTGTACCATGTGAATATTTCCCATAATTATTTCACCGAGCTACCCAAATGGCTGAATGAATGTGAAATGCTGGAGACATTGGATGCCTCCCATAATCAGCTACAAAAAGTTACCGATTTTCTTTTGACCGGCAAAACCACCCGCCTACGACTACTCAATTTATCGTACAACAATTTAAGGATCATTGAACGATTTTCGGAACGCTTTCGCCTTCTTGAAGAATTGCAGTTGCAGAGTAATGAACTGCAACTGCTTACGGATAATCTGTTTGCCATAACCAAGGGTTCACTGAAGCTATTAAATTTATCCTGCAACAGATTGCAAATTCTGCCACCAATTGAGGAGCGGGATCTGAAAGATGCGGAATTTGTGCTGGAACGCCTTTTGGTGACCAGCAATAATTTGGATGATCGCATTTTCGAGTTACTCAAAGAGGCTAGAAATCTGAAAGTGTTCTATGCGGCCTATAATAAAATTTCCGCCATACCTGAGGGCTGCTTTGAGAGATTGGAAAAATTGGAGGAATTGATGTTGTCGGGTAATTTATTGCAACAGTTACCGCCCGGTATTTGTGAGCTAAGAAATTTACAGGTACTGAGGATCCATTCAAATCTTCTGTTAATTACTCCGCAGCTGAGTAAATTATCGACCTTACGAGTACTCGACTTGGCCCACAACCATTTGGACCACTTGGATTTGATGAGTTTGGTTCCACAAAATCTCAAATATTTGGATTTGTCTTGCAATCTCCAGTTGCAGGTGGATGAGCAGCAGGTTAATGTTTGCCGAAGTCAGCGAAAATGGAGTTTGGTGGATGTGTCGGGTAAGAATCGGATCAATTTGCCCACGAAGAAAAATGGGGAACCCAAGGATACCCATACGGGTCATAAACCACCTTGGCTGGTTGGTTTCTCTGAGACCCCGGGGAAATCTCGTAAACTGCTTGTGATTCAATTACGGGAAGGCAAGCTGCGTACCGATGAAGCCCTATTCGGAATGTTTATTAGCTCCAGCAACACTTCATCGCACATCTGTAAAATGGCGCAGATGATACCGAAATTATTGCAGCAGGAAAGGACCGTCAAAGAAAATATGGGAGATTATATGAAGTACACTCTACTGGCGGGGCAGCAAAAGCTATCAGATAAACCTCCAAGTGGCTCAATGTTGTGTCACATCTCGCGGGAGAATACCCGTAATAAATTCGATATGGTAAGGCCGCAAAAAACGAAACGTTATGTGCTGAGAGTTGCCAGCATTGGGGAGATTGGAGCATATTTAATAAGGCGTACGAATAATATACAGCTGATTGCCCGACCAGCCTCCCTCAAGTGTTCGAGTGCAGGGTCGCAATCACAAAACTTTTCAGATCCATCTGTGGCCGAATGGATACTCGGCAATGATGATGAGTACTTAGTTATTTGCAATCCAGGTATTCGCTCGGTACTCGATATCGATCGCATTGCAAGGGAGGTTCGCAAGGAGGAAAATGTTGTGTTGGCGGCCAAACGTGTTCAGGATATGGCCCAAAGTTTTGGTGCGGAGGGGAATTTAAGTGTTATTGTCATACGTTTTAAGAATATCGGTACGGATGTCGATCATCTGATCAAGGAATTGAAGCAGACTGTACGTCGTAAACCACAAAGTTTGGTGGCGAATTCCATGACCACAGGACTTCTGCCGAATGTTTGTAAGCGGGCTTGCTGTGATCGTAATCTAAATTGTCGTCATCGCTTTGGTGGCACGGTAACGACGGCACGACAGTTACCTTTAACTTCCGGGCGTCTTGGCAGTGATCGTTCATCACCGAGTGGTCAAAGTGATCAGGCTCTGAGTGTTGTGGCCAGTGCCAAACAACTCGATACCGATAATGAATATATTTTGGCTCATGCTCGGGTCCTGGAGGAAACCACCGAAATGGAAATGTTAGACGAAACTGATTCCGCCCTTTCGGAGGAACAATTTAAATGTTGGGAATATATGTTGGAACAAAATACCCAGCTACTCTTCGACAAGGAACTTAATACCATATCAAAGTCCTTCACGAAAAATCGCAACGCCGAACGTAAGCGATCTACCCCGGAACGTTATGATTATAAATCGAATTTGTTGAAAACGAGTACCCCAAAATTCATATCCACGAGTTCGCCGCAGCTGCTCTATTCGGAGGTAAAGAAATCGAATGTGGGCCTCTTGAATCCCGCAGCAAATCCATTGGCCAATACTTCGGCGGCCACAGCAACGGGTTCACAAGTTTCATTTCTTTCGAAACACTTCGGCAGTGCCCGATCATTTGGTACGGGTTATAATTTCTTTTCGGATTCTAAGAGTCGTGACTCGTTGGCCAGTGGTATTGGTTACAGCAAGCTAAGTGGTGGTCCGAATGCTGCCTATTTTGGTTCGCTGCAACGTCTTATGCCATACAATTTGGAATATGATTTTGCCGTAACCCAAGAGCGGAACTATTTAGATGAGGATGAAGACGATGATGATTTCAATGATCATGAACATAGAATGAGGAAATACTGGGGTGTGGCAACGACGGAACTTTAAAGCGAACTTTGTTATTAATGTGTTGTATTGGTATTATGTATATAGAAAAAATAATTACTAATTTTTAAGAATACTCATTGTAAAAAATAATATTAAAAATAAAAAATACAATAAATATATTAAAAATAAAAATCCGAAAAATTGAAAAATCCCCGCCAGAAGATAGGCCTTGAAAATTAAATTTAATTAATTACTGTTTTCTACTTGGTCTTTCCATCTAATACGTGACCTTCGCCTTCTACGGGAACCATCAGTAGGCTCGCTTTTATATGCCTTTTGAGCTGGGACATTCTCATTCATTCGCACAACATGGCCTAACCATCGTAGTCGCTGCAGCTCAATACGACTGACTATGTCGATGTCCGCGTATAAATGGTAAAGCTAGTGGTCCATTCGACGCCGATATTCACCGTCGACGTAGATCGGCCCATAGATCTTTCGGAGATTTTTTTCTCTCAAACACTTCAAGAGCTGCCTCATCTGCCTGCGTAATTACCTATTCTGCAAATCCATATAACAGCACGGGTAGTTTCAGCGTCTTGTAAAGTGTGAGTTTGGACTGGCGGGAGGTGACATTGTTTCTAAACTGCTTATTTAGACCATAGTAGCATCTGTTGGCCATCACAATCCTTCTCCGAATTTCACAATTGATGTCATTCGTTTTAATTATGGATATATCAAGGTATAACAAAATCTTTAACTACTACGTTTACTGCCAGACCCACTTTGGCAGACTCCCACTCAATTAGTTCAAAGGTGGCTGTTACCGCTCTCAATGTTCGATCCATTATATCGATGTCATCGGCGTAGGCGATTAACTGGTGTTGTTTGGTGTATAGAGTGTCATTTCGGTTCACCTTTGCCTCTCGTATGAACTTTTCCAGCAGGATGTTAAAAAGATCTCACGACAAACTGTCACCTTGTCTGAATAATCGTTCGGTATTAAAGGGCTCCGATAGGTCCTTTCCGACTTTAACTGCTGATCTTGTGCCAGTTAAAGTTATCCTGCATAGCCGTATAAATTTTGCAGGAATGCCGAACGTAGACATGGCTTTAAACACTTCTGAACGGATAGGTCGACAGCCCTGCGGCTTTATAGTCGACGAATAGGTGGAATGTGTCGATGTGTTTTTCGTGGGGGTTTTCAAGGATATGACGCAGAGTGAAAATCTGGTCAATGGTGGATTTGCCAGGTCTAAAGCCGCATTGGTATGGTCCAATAATATCATTGACCATTGACTTCAGTCGTTCACACAGTACGCTGGATAGCACATTATATGCGATGGGAAGGAGACTTATTCCTCTATAGTTGGACATATCGTCTGGTCTCATTTTTTGTGCATGGGACACAGGATGCTGAGGTTCCAATCATTGGGCATGCATTCCTCTAGCCAAATTGTAGTAATCAACTGGTGCATGCTCCTGACCAGCATCTGACCAACAGTCTTGAATAGTTCGGCTGATAACCCATCGGCTCCTGTTGCTTTATTATTTTTCGGACGATTGATTGCTATTCTAACTTCATCTTGGCTAGGTGGTATACACTCTATACCGTCATCTATTATTGGTTCTGGGGTATCTTCTTCACCGCTATTTTTACCAGAACCAGAAGCTGTTCAAAATGCTCCTTCCAGATCCTCAACACGCTGTCTGTATCCGTCACCAGGTTTCCTTCTTCATCTCTACAGGAGGATGTGCCTGGACATTCCTGCAAAATTAATTCGGCTATGCAGGATAACTTTAATTGGCGCAAGATCAGCAGATAAAGTCGGAAAGGACCTCTCGGAGCCCTTTAATATCGAACGAGGATTCAGGCAAAGTGGCAGTTCGGTTTGGCGTTTTACTCGATTTGCTCAGGCTCACGTTTGTCTTGTTCTTTCTTCTTTTTTTTTCTGAAAACACGTTTCTCCTCTCTCCTTTTCTCCCGATAATTCTCCATCACATTACGTGTTGCTACCGTCCGCAGGGTTGCCCTATACGATGAGTTTTTCACATCAGTAGCATTACGACACTCCTGATCGTACCATGGGTTTCTTGGTGGTGGTTTTTGGTACCCAAGTGTTGCATTTGCTGCAGTTTGTAGGGAGTGGGCAATTCTTTGCCATTGTGCTTCTATACTATTATCGGGACAAGGAGTGCTTTCTTCAAGCAGTTGGATAAGTTGAGCGGAGTATTCTTCTGCTACCTGTTATGTTTGCAGCTTTTCGACGTCAAATTTCCGTGCTACATTAGATCGCACCTTTACTGCTACATTAAGACGAGTGAGAACCTTGGCTGCTACAAGGTAGTGGTCCGAATCGATATTCGCTCCTCGGATCGATCGAACATCTAATACACTGGATGAATGCCTTCCGTCTAGCACAACATGATCGAATTGATTTCTCGTTGCTTGATCAGGAGTAATCCTGGTGGCCTTGTGTATATCGAGATGCTTGAATCTGTTGCTGCTAATTACCATGTTTTGTTGCTGCCGCGAAATCAATCAACCTCATGCCGTTGTCTGATGTTTCTTCATGAATGCTGAAATTTCCGCCTGAGGGGCCAAAGGTATTTTCCCTTCCGATTTTTTCCATTAAAATCTCCTAGCAGAATTTTAATGTCATGGCCAGGGCAGCGATCATATGCTGTTTCTAGGCGCTCGTAAAATATGTCTTTGGTCTGCTCATCTTTGTCTTCGGTGGGAGCATGGGCTCCAATAACACTGATGTAGAAGAACTTCGCTTTTATACGGATTATAGCAATTCGCTCATCTACTGGAGTGAATCTGGAAAATAGGTCTTTTATTCTCCTGTAAACCATAAATCCGCAGCCAAATTCATGTCTCGTTTCATGGCAGCTATAATACAGAGCGTAATCATCTGATTTACTTATGCCAGTCCCTTTCCATCGCATTTCCTGTAAGGCAATAATATCGGCTTTATACTTCTCTAGTACATCCGCCAAAGCGAGAACAGTGCCCCTTGTTCTGTACAACGTGCGCACATTCCAAGTGCAGATTTGCAGATCGTGGTCCTTTATACGTTTGCGGGGGTCGTCAACATTAGGTGGGTTTGGTTTTATTTTTCTTTGCTTTTTCATAGTAAGAGGGGTTTTCCGAGTGTGGGCAACTAACCCGACGCCTTAACCCATTTTTTTATAGTTCTTATGGGTCAACTCGCGGCACATATTAGCTCACTATTTCATCGGGTGATGAAAAATAGCTACCCCAGGTGACACCGCGGGGAGGTCAGTGTCCACATTTGAGATGAAAGAGTCACCAAGATAAGCCTGGACTTCGCCATGTTAAAGCTAATCAGAGCCGTTGCTTGGTATCTATCATCCCCTACGCCGCCTGAAGATAGACCTTGAAAAATAAATTTTAAAAATCCACGCCTGAAGATAGACCTTGAAAAATAAATTTTAAAAATCCACGCCTGAAGATAGACCTTCAAATAGACTATAAAATATTTTTTTTTAATCTACGCCTTAGTAGAGACTCTAAAAAATATTTTTAAAAACCCACGCCTAGGCTGAGGACCTGAAATATATTTTTAAAATAATACCCTGTACCACAATTCAATTTTCGACTTGTTGGGTCTCTGAAAAATATTTTTAAAACACACACCTTGTAGGGTCCCTGAAAAAAATATTTTTAAAAAATCCATGCCTTGTCGGAGTCGCTAAAAAATATTTTTAATTTTTTTTAACTAATTTTTCTCTTCGAGTGTAGTGTAAAAGTCATTGCTGGTTATAAATCAATAAATATTTGAAAATAAATAATAAAATCGCCCATTAAATATGTATCAAAAAATTGCGAAGGGGAGACTTCCTTTTTAAGTGCATGTGTACACAGACACACATACATATATACTTGTGTATATATGATGTATGTATATACATATATTTCTTATTTGTTTCGCGTTACCTTATCGATAAAGTGAAAGCTGTAACAAAAAAATAAATATATAGACATCAGTTGTGAAGTGTAAACATTAAGAAGTTCGGGAAAAAACCGAACAACAACAACTTAACTGACATTAAAAACAGATTTTTAGCAAATCCCACCTACCTTCCCCTCTAGAACCAAAAAAAAAAAAAAAGGAAATGCCCTAGGAATGAGTAATGGCCAAAGAATTATTGAAGACGCTTTGGAAACCCAAAAGAAGAAGAAGAAAACTTTGTAAATAAATAAAAAATCGCAATAGAATATGAAATACGATTTCAAGAAGGACAAAAAAACTCGCAAAGCAAACAAAAAATTATTGGCAGAGGAGAAGAAAATTCCGAACAGATTCAGCAATGCCATGGCTGAATGCTATGCCAAGGCATATCAGCAAAGATAAAGGGTTGAGGGTTCTCTAGCCAAGAGGGGAAAGTGTGTGTGCACTGCGCAGACGCTGGAATTTCGATTTTCTATTGCGGAACAAATAATTGTTTTCTTCTGTATTGACAACCTAACAATTATCGGTGGCTGATAAGATAAGCAGAAATCCAGCAGAGGGTGGGATTTCACTTTGCAGCCAAAAGGGGGTGGAGTTTCAAGCTCAGTGAACGGCTATGTATTGGTGAGTAGCTACAGAAGAGAGAGCAGAGGAACACAATATGAATTATTCCTTTACCAGAAGGGATTTCACACAGCTCTAGACTTAACTGCTCCATAACTTGGTGGTGGTCGGGTTCGGTCTTCCTTGGTGAGGGGACCAAAAATGGTTTGTTATTTTATTTTGTGGGTTGGCATCATTGTTGTCGTTTTACGTTTGTGCAACAGCAAGGATGTTAGCAACAACAACAACAATAAGAAGAAAGGATAACAACAATGTTGCGACAAACTACTGCTGTTGACTTGGGAATAAGGTGTCACAGTCTTGGGTAAAGCAGACACACATCCACATATACGTGCATATGGAAGTACCTCCATATGATTCAGGAGGAGCAGGGACACATACACACAAATAATATTCAACAAGGATGGTTACCCCACTAGTTATGTTCTCTTACAATTGGGAGATAGCACTCAGGAA